CTCAACCTCCAGTGAGCGATGAGATTAACAGCAGGCTCCCGGATGACAAAGATCTGTCTTAATGCAGCGAGGCATGCTGGGCAACCGGAGGCAGCGTCCCGGTCGGATCGGAGCGCTGAAGCGCTGATGCAAAGAGACTTATCTGACCGACTCCAGCCGAAAGCGTTCGGTTTGTAGATGGGAACACTTTACAAGAGAACAAATCAAGAGAAAATCCATTAATCGCTTCTGAAAATCGGCGCGAAGGCTTGACTTTCACAACGAGATTCACTGTCAGACTTTAATTCTTTAAGAAGTCTTACACATGAGAGTCGTGTTACTCAAGTTGACAGTGACTACGTTTTGCTGTTTTATGTCCCAACGCCTTCAGCTTTTATGTTCCTGATGGGTAATAAATCAAACGCTGAATCTCTTTCTCTATTGTAAGTCACACTGCTCTAAGGGACCAAACAGAAGATGCCGAGAATCGTATCTGGTTTCTTTGAAACCATCTACAATATCCCTGCGATATCCCTCAATACTCTAAAGTAAAGGCAGATTGATTGTATTTAATGATTTGCACATTTGTTCAATTTAACAAAAAAAAAAGAAACAAAAAAATGTAAAAATAAATAATAAAAGAAACAAGCCAACAAAGAAACAAACAAACAAATAAACAAAAATGTAAAAAAAAAAGTTTAAATTATGTTGTTATAAAAGTTAAACTGAAAAAAATACTTCAGCATTGATTCGCCAGAGAGTCTGTTTTAATGATCTAAAATAATAAATTAATTAAAATAATTAAATAACAAAAAATATATAAGTATTGAACAAACAAACAAATAAAAAAATATATAAGTAAAACAAAAATAATAATTAAACAAAAATAAATAAAGAATAAATAAATAAAATTAACAATATGAATATGAATGAATATCTAAAATAAATAATTATTAAACTAAATACAACAAAAATAATAAACAAACAAATACAAATACATAAATATAAATAATATTAAATAATATTTTAAAATTAAACAATTAATAAATAACTAAAATAATTAAAATACAACAAATAAATAAACAAATATAAATATAAATATATAAAATGTAAGTAAATAAATTAAACAAAAATAAATAACTAAACAAATAAATACAACAAAAATAAAACAAACAAACAAATTAATTAATATAAAAATATAAAAAGTTTAATTATAAAATAATAATTCAGCATTCACTAGCTACTGGGTCTGATCAGCAAAAAGTTACTAAATAGGGTGGATTAATTATATTTAACGCAGATTGCGGATTTATTAAATTAAAAGATAATTAAACAAAATAAATAATTAAACAAACAAACAAAATTAATAAAAACCCAAAATAAATCAAGCAAGCAAACAAGTTGCTATAAAATGTTGAATTATGGAAAAGTAAAGAAAAGTACATTTTAAAAAATTCTACGAGGCTGATTCAGCATTCACCAGCCACTGTGTCTAATCTGCAAAAAAGTTACTCAATAAGTACGGGCAGATGGGCTTATACGATTTGTACAAGCCCAAAGCATTTATGACATCCGTACTTTATGAAACTCAAGCAGCAGTCTTGGCTCGTCGTCTCACTCATAAAGTGGGTTTGTGCGACTGCAGCATGTGCTTCAGGCCTCGACACATCCAGGGTGCAGACGCTCGCCCGGCTGGCACGACTCAGCGCATGAGAAAGTGTGATGTAAGAGGAAGATCGTTCTGCATGAATCAAAAGGAACCGGAGATAATTTCCCCCGGAGCTGAAAAGCGACCACACCAAATAAGGGAGTTTTGCCCAGAGAGTATAAATAACTTCCTCTGAGAGGAAGTGCCATTATCTCCCACAGGAGCCTTGCTGTGGTGGGCAGCGCTCGAGAGCGTCACGGTCTTTTTATTAAAAGTATTTTCCTTGTATTATTTCAGATTTTTAGCAGACGTCTTTCAGACGTAGTTGTGCTGTCTGGGTAGTTGAGATGCAGATAAAACTAACCTTTATTACTGTCATTCATAATGTCTAAATATAATTTTATAAATACAAAAAAATATATATATTAGGGAGTGGAAATGGTTAATAAGCCTATATGTACTTCTCTGCAGCCATCTACTAGTGATAATTTAATGTCTTTTTTTATTTTTAAATAAGTCTTGACCTTCCTACATTATGAAACTTTTAGTTTTATAAATGGGGGCAACCTATGAAGGATGAACAAATGTCACCACATTAAAAATAACTTTCAAATTCGGTAATACTTAACCCTTTGGGCGCCAGGGATTTTTGGAAAAAATGCTGGATTTTGACATCAAGATTTCAAAAGCTTGTGGCTTGAAAGGGCTTAAAGATAGAGATCTACTGTAAATTAGAAAAATGTTGGGCATGACTGAAAGTTTATGTGGGGTGTAAATATACTCGTCTAATTTGCATATTATGACGTCATCAGGGGCAGCCATCTTGAATGTCATAATATTCAGGAAATCATAGATATTGAATGGATGTTTGAACTTATTTGCATGTTTTGTTTTTTTTGTTTTTGTCTTTTTATCCTCATTCCAAATGATCAGAAAAGAGGAAACCAACAATAAAACAGGAGAAAGTACTAAATTATTACTATATTACTATACTATATAGGCTATGAACTGAACTGCTTCCGCATCAATGACACGATAGCTCACTTGCTCTGCTATTTGCTCGAACACTTTGAATAGGAACATGACGTGATTTTGGTCTAGAATCAAAGTACTACATGTCTGCCATCTAGTGGTAGGGAATACAAATGAGATATTACACCATATTAGGAACTACAGTCTATTTTATTAAGTATGACGTCTTGTTGCAATTTTGCGACTTTGGCGCTTAGAGGGTTAAAGCTTTGAAGTGCTGGGAAAAGTTGTGTGAAGCATTTAAAAACACTAAAAAACATTAGACCATTTCTGCCACAAGTCCTGTAGTTTTACTATGTTAAATCCATGGTGAATGGCGGTGATCTGTTTATTGAACAATGTTTTTCCTGTTTTCCACATCAGTGGTGTTTGTTCTGATATCTGTAGCTTTAACAGAATTCTGCGCCGAATTTGAATGCTTCTCACGAGATGTTATAGATTCTGCGACTGCTTTCTTCACTGTATCTCCCAGCGCTGTGTATAACGGTGTCACGTGATCGAGATCAGATAAACCGAGCAGATAAACGGTCTGCGCTACGTAGCCCAAACGAGTAGCGCGGATTCGTTCCACTTTCCAATGTAGCTCTTGTAAATCGGTCGTGATAAGAACTCAAGGCTGTTCATTCCACTTTTGGAACCTTTCTTTGACTGAATGTGCATTGCGATGACGTCACGGGACGCGTCTAAGACCAAAATCTGCGGAAAATCTGTGGCAATTACGAAAATTTGTGAGCTCTTGTGAAAATTGCAGCGTTTGCTTGATTTTGCGATAAATTCAGCGATCGCAGAATCGCAAAATCCTGGAGGAACTGATTTACTTTTTAAGTACTGATATGCACTTTTAAGTACTAATATGTACCATTTAGGTGTAAATAAGATACAAAGGTGTACCACCCAGGGACAGAGTGTACAGGTTTGTAATGACATGAGGAGAATAAATGAGCGTTCGGTTCTAAATCTCCACATTAGGACTAACTCTTTTCTCTCCGGTCATTACGCAACGGCATGCACTCCAGCCAATCCGCTGGCCCATAAAGGGGCTGCTTTTGCATTGAAGCCCAGATAACAAGAGTTACATCCCAACATCCCACAGTTTACGCTGCTGTCACTATCTATTACACACAATTGAGCCGTGGAAGCACCAAGCAAGAAGATCTGTACCAAATCGCCCAGAAATTCGGTTGCAACATCCATGCGATACCAAGCATTCATCAAGCACCATGCCAGCATCTCCTCGCTGTCTGCCAAAGCCGAGCTCAGATTTACGGTCACGCCGCTTCCAGACAGATATTCCTGGGGTTTAAAGTCTCCGCTCAAGTGTTAAGAGTGCAGCTGGCGCACTCGAGCTCCTATGCAAACCTGCAGACAGATCCATCTCCATCACAGATGATACATAACGTCCCTCTGAGGCCCGTGTTGCATGTGGAAGACAGGTGAGAGACCTGCATTTGGGGGCCGTTTACCAAAGATCAACGGGAAAGAAGCTGAATAAATGAGCCAGATGGCTCGTGTTTAAGCAGAACTGATGGGTGAGGTTTTCTTGGAGCAGCTTTATGGCAAAAATATATATCTGGCAACATTGTGCCAAACACATTAACTTTATGTCTTACTTGGACAATCTGTGTTTCCTGTGGCCTCAAACAGATGCCTGTTTTTCCTGGTGGAAATCCTTTGGTAATATAACCTCTAAAGCACTGTATTAAAAGCAATATCCTTGAATTATATTTTAAAATTTAAGTCAACATGCAACAGAGACCGCAACTCATTTTACTGCCATAATGTGACGTCTTGTGAAACAAGTTTATGCAATAAAAAAATAAAAACTGCAGGATCGACGGGACCAGAATTTGGTCAGAGCTAAAGGAAAGTTTGCATTGCCAAAAGCCTTAACATAAACCAAAGGCCCAAGAAGTGTTAATCTAGTCAACCAAATTACTGACAAAAATATTAGTTGATGAACAATTCTTTGATTTTTGCCAAAGATAACGAAGGTGAGATGGCAAATGTGCATCATGACGATAATCAAGTGTAGGAAAAAAAAAAATACTAAAAAAAAAA